GGTGATTGTGGTATGGTGATATCCAGAAGCTCTACTCTGGGAAGGATCTTTCCTCTCAAGGTGAAATTGCAGTGTTGCGACTTTTTTCCATTTATGGATATGTTCCACCTATTTGTCCACTTCCCGTAAGAGTCGAGGAATTCCTGGGTAATCCTTGACGCTTCGATTGGGCAAGAGGCGTTCGCAATAAAGGCCGTGTCGTCAGCGTATGTAGCCAGAATCGTGCCCGGCTTGTTAGGACACGGCAGATCTGAAGTGAACAGAGTGTACAAAACAGGGCCCAGAACGCTTCCCTGAGGAACGCCAGCTCGAACAATTCTGATTGTTGACCTTTCCCCTCTCACCTCGACCATGAAACTTCGGTCAAGCAGGTATGATTTTAGTAAGAGGAACTGGCTAGTCGGGAGTAGGGACTTCAACTTATACAGTAAGCCATCGTGCCACACGCGGTCGAAAGCTTCCTTAACATCGAGAAAAATTGCAGAGCTGTATTGCTTGTTTTCAAAAGCATCTAAAATGTGCTGGACAACTCGATGCGCTTGCTCTGGGGTTCCATGATGATGCCTAAAACCAAACTGATGGTCGGGAATGGCATCCTGCACGCTTCTTACTCCCATGATTCTGCTAAGAAATATTCTTTCGAATATTTTAGAGAATGTGGGTAGCAAGCTTATCGGTCGGTAAGACTGAACAAGGTTCTCCGGTTTTCCTGGTTTTGGTATCATCGTTATCACAGCACACTTCCATTGTGAGGGAAAGTGGTGGATACGTAGCATTGAGTTAAACAAGAGAACAAGGAACAGGATTCCCTTTTTAGGCAAGGCCTTGGCGATTCTGCTATCAATGCCATCAAAGCCCGGCGCTTTTCTAGGATGAAGCTTTTGGATATGGAGATACACTTCTTCTGGGCTCACGTGTTGAATCGGCAAGGCATCCGGGGAAGGGGCATCAAGGAAGGCAAGAGTTTCTTCAACATCCTCGCGGCTCGCGAGTTCAAATGGCTGGAAGCGTCTTTCAAGTTCGTCTGCAAAAGCTAAAGAAATTTCTGAGTCGGACCTGCACCATGTGTCATCAGATTTCTTTATGGGGATCTTTCGTAGGGGCTGTCGTTTCATATTCCGTGTGCATTTCCAGAGGTTAAAGCCGTAAGGTTTGGTGGGGTCAGCATTCAGGAGCATCTCATCAAAGTATTTCCGTTTGGTTTCATAAAGAAGCTTTTTAAGATCATCCTCCGCTCGTCGATATGCACTTTTGTCGACAGGATCTTGAGATCTCATATATCTGCGACGTAGGGAGCGTTTCAGCCTTACCAGATCCATAATCTCAGGTTTTAAAGGAGCCTGAGGTGGACTGGAGGGGCTTGAGCTTGAGGTTGAGGACTCGGCAGCGATATGGATGTTCCGGACAAATAGCTCGACGGCGTCGTTGATGGCGTCAGGAGAGCGTAACACCATATTTAGGTTAACTAGCCGGTTGACTGCTTCTTGAAAGCGTGGGAGGCTCGCATTCCGAGGAAGGATGCAAGGCCGTCGGGAAGTTTTTTGCGCAGCGACTCTTAGTTTCACTATCAATGGGATGTGATCAGAGCTTAGTTCAAGACTTTCTGAGATGGAGAGACTCTCGGGCCGAATCCCTCTGTAGACAGCAAAGTCAATGGCGGTTGGCGTTCTTTGACTATACGGATAGTGTGTAGGCCCTCCGGTTGCAAGGACCTGGACATTTGATCTTTGAATATAGTCAGCTAGTGCTCTCCCGCGGGTGCTTGAGTTACGGGATCCCCAGAGACGGTGGTGAGCGTTCCAGTCGCCTGCGATTATGAAATTTGTTCCCAGATCGTCGAAGAGTTTTTCAAAGTCGTCAGCAGTACATTGAAAATTTGGTGGACAATAGATAGACGCAATAGCTGTTTCACCAAGGTCTGTTTTAACTTTGACGGCGACACATTGAACATTTGGGCTTTGTAGACTATAAAACTGGTAACATTGAAGGCAGGATTTAATTAAAATTGCAGAGCCACCGCGTTTCCGATCACCCGGATGGGTTGCTTGATGTATATCGTATCCGTGCAACTTGTAGTACGACCTCGAGCAGAAGTGTGTTTCACTAACCAACATAATGTCAATATTATGACATTTTACAAAGAGCTCAAGCTCAAGGGCTTTGTTGGCAAGTCCGTCAGCGTTCCACACACCAATGTTGAGGCCGATTTGACTCATGGTTGTGCAACATTGACTGGGAGAAGCTCAGCGAATGCTTGAGCAGTTGCAGGAGAATTCAGAGGCAAAAGTTTTGAGACAAGTCCCATCATAGACACCATCATTTGGAACAGCTTGTCCATCTGAGCGACGAGGACCGACAGATTTTGGTTAGATTGCAAAAACATTTGCTCCTGGCGCTGCCATTGCTGGTCGTTGATCATCTGCTGCGAGCTGCGTCGCGGTTGTTGGGGGGAAGACTGCTGCTGGTGACTTGGCTGTTGTTGCTGTTGTTGAGGCCTTTGTTGTTGCTGTGATAGCTGCTGCTGCTGCCGAGGTGGTACTACTTGATGGTGTAGCTGACTTTGCTTTCGATTGTTGCTGCCCAGTGGAGGAAAATGTTGACTCTGTGGGAAAGTCATAGGGGCTTGTTGGTGCTGGGGACGACTAACTTGACCACGGACGGCGTTTGCGTAGGAGTTCTGACCCACAAAGTTTGACCGAACATTCGAATTATTTGACTGTTGGGGAACAGTGCTACGATGGGATGCGATACTTTTTCGTCGATATGCAACTTGCTGATAGACGACACAGCCTTTATAGCTTGCTGTATGGTTTCCGCCGCAGTTTACGCACTTAACTGGGTGAACATCCTTTACGCAGGCCTCCAAACCGTGTTGTAGGCCACATCTGACGCAGTTGGATAGCTTTTGGCAATGATTTTTAGTGTGTCCAAATGCTTGACAGCGGTGGCATTGGACGACATCATCCTTTTTATAGGGGAGTTCAACTTGAACCCGTTGCCGACAAAGTGTCTTAATTTCGTGAATTTCTTTGTTATTTGCAGCCGGTTCTAATTCTACAAAGACTAGATTCACGAACTTGGTCTTGTCGAAGCGGCTTCTGGGTCTATTCACAAATCGAACCTTGTGGCCAGTCAAGGTAAGACTTTCCTTAATGTTTTCATCCGGGATGGAATGATGAACACCACGGATGACTACTCGATAGGATCTCTCTTCTTTTAGCTGCCACGAATGGAATGGCACTTTTTTAAGGGTTAGAGACTTGGTTATCGCTCTGTATGCATCTGGATCTGCAGCCAGAATAGAAACAGAGTTGTTCGGGTGGCATTTCAGGGAGTACTTGGACGGGTCAACAATCTTGTCAGTGGATCTAATAAGTCCATTCAGATTCTCACAGTGATCGACCACAATTGGGGGTGGTTTGTGGGAGGGTAATTGTACCTGACTGCCAGACGGTTGGCTATGAATCTTATTGTTGCTGGCGGGGTTGTTGCCAACATTAGTGTTGACTACGTTGTTGTTGCTGGTAGAAGTACTGGCTTTTTCAGTGTCGTAGGGGCTGACCGTTTGAGAAGCTTCCACGTCTATGTCCATGTTCGACAGTTCTGAAAAGCGGTTAGCAGAGACGTTTTTTTTGGGCTATTGGAGTTTCTTATTATTTTAGTGACTGAATTCGGTGATCTGGAGTCAAGACGGCGTTTGCTGTTTACCGAACTTGGAGTCCACCAGTCCTCATCCTCGGCATTTATGGCTGCTAGTTCCGGATCAACTTCATTGGTTGGTACAGGTGGGTTGATGTGAGACGTGGCATTATATAGGCGACTAAATTTGGTTAATGAGCAATTAAGTGCATCACTCATTTTCTTCTGTTGTAAGGCCACAGTTTTTCGGATGCTTAGCTCATCTTCGGAGTCTGAAAGACCAGCCATTTTTTGCTATTAGGCACTGGTGTGCACTGCTTTATCGACTTATGGTATACAGAAGGCCTTTGACCAGCCTGCTTTGAGGCGATCGTGGCCTAGTGGGTAAGGTGCAAGTCCCGCAATCGGGCGGTACCCGGCTCGAACCCACCGAGAGGCGAACAGATTCAAAATTATTTTTCTTTTATTTGGAAAAAAAAATAACTAATTCAAATATATTTCGAATTCGAATTTGAACCAACTAGCGGTGATTTGTACGTACAACAAATGCAACTGTTAGTTTTTAATTTCTGTTCCACTTGTTTTGTTTTCGCGACAAGGCACAACTAACGGAGCATAGAAGCACTGACACCGCGACTTTAGAAGTCGGATTCACAAAAAAAAGTAGGTTTTGCCACGGAGGTGGACTTGTCCATAGACTCTTCACAGGGAATTTCGCAGCGATGCAAAAACGCGTCTGCACTCCACGAAAGCATGATCGAGACTTTGAAATGGTGACAGAGAAATGTTAAATTGAGTTTATTTAACAAATTTTTGATAACCCTTCGGACTGAACTAAGAGTTTATGTGTTGAGATATACAATGTACATATATACCGCCAATTCAACTTGATTCGAGCAAAATAAAAACATTTTCAACTTTAAATTCTATTTTTAAGAACATTTTTAACGCAGATGAGAACGTCAGAATTTTCTCTGTGTGGCTATAAATAATAAAATAACCTAATAAAATAAACCATTGCTGCCTAAAAGCATTACCATTTTTTATTTAAACTGTTATGTTATCTTAATGAGTACTTTCGGCATATCATAAATTAAATTAAATAAATAAATTATAATAAATCAAGCAATTTTATGAGAAAATATAGAAACCAGTTAATTACGACGCATTTATTTCTTTCACGACCTAATAATTCTTTACTTTTTTCGAAATGCTCAAAAAATATTTATTATTTTAAGAGTTATTTATAAAAACAGGAAAATACCCGTTGTTGTAAGTTATTGATAGTCATGATGTAGATTCTTTGCATCATTGCTTCTACTGTCAAGTACAAAGTACCAGGCACATTAGTTATTCTGATTTTAATTTTATTTAAAGAGAAAAATACCAAACTAAAAATGCTGGCTGTGGGAGAACCATCACAGCAGTATGGAAACCGAAGCCATCAGGCGGAGTGCATTCCCCTGGGAAGATATCCGGCCTACGGGTCGGACATGGATCCCGAGGGTCAGGACAAGAGTGCCGAATTCTGTAACGCCAGCATCCGGCGGGGATTCATGCGAAAGGTGTACCTCATTCTGCTGGTCCAACTGGTTACTTCGCTGGTGTTCATAGTGGGTTTCAACTACGACAAGGAGGTGCGACAGACTGTAACTGAGAACACCTTGATTTTTCTGGGTGCCTTGTTTATAGGCCTTATTGCTTTGGTAGTTCTGGCCTGCAATGAGAATCTCCGCCGGCGGACTCCAACGAACTTCATCTTGCTGGCGATCTTTACCATATCCGAATCCCTTTTACTGGGCGTGGCATCCTGCAGATATGCTCCAAAGGAGATATTTCTGGCCGTGGTAATCACTACGGCAGTTTGTCTGGGACTCACTTGTTTCGCCCTGCAGACGCGCTACGACTTCACCATGATGGGTGGCATCCTGATGAGCTGCCTCTTGGTCCTGCTGCTCTTCGGGATTATGACCATCTTCGTGGGCGAGGGTCTCATCACGACCATATATGCCTGTCTGAGTGCCCTGCTCTTTTCCATTTACTTGGTTTACGACACACAACTCATGATGGGCGGCAGGCATAGGTTCTCCATAAGTCCCGAGGAGTACATATTCGCCGCCCTCAATCTCTACATGGATGTGGTAAACGTATTTATGGATATTTTGCAAGTTTTGGGCGGAGCCGACTGATGGTGATATCCGCTCAAATCCCAAATACACGGCATACTTTCCGGCATTTATCGGATTATTCACTTCAGTGATTCAATGTCGAAAATTAATAAATCAAATTGTGCAGCATCAATTTGAGCCGATTATATATGTTTCAGTTCATAAATTACGAACATTACGGCACAACAGGTGCAAAGCCCACCTCACCACCCTCCGATTTCCAAATGTCAATTAAGTTATTAGTTCGAGCAATAAAACTGTCAAGGACGTAACAACATTAACATAAAGCTTACACAAATTAGATGCTGTCCTGGCAAACTTTGGCAATAAATGTATCTGCAAAAGTGTGGACCCCACTGGGTTTGTGTGACAGGAGGTCCGGTCCCAAAACCCCCAGACTATATATATATATTTGTACCTACTAGGTAGCTATATCTTGGTCAAACAAATCAAGTGAACTCGGCGGCAGCAGCTGCCAAGGGTATACATTTAATTAACAATTGACAGTAGCTTGACAGTTGGCCAAGCAAACAAAACCAGCATAAACACCATTCCATTCCAGATTCAGATCCTGATAGGGATAACATTGGTGCTGTGCGGTTCCAGCGCTCAAACTGATTCCATTGATTCTGATAAGGACTCAATTGAATAAATAGCACAACTAAAATGCTACTGACTTTAAGTTGATTAAAGATAAGTATTTGTTACCTTACTACTAGTTACGATTTCTTGAGATACACATATCATCATAATATACTACTTAACTAAAAGTAGTAGATCCTTAAATTGTATTTAATATGATATGATTTTTCTCATATTGTAAATACTGCAACAGCAGTTTTTTTTATAAAATGTTGAAGAATTTAAGTCACTCTTATTTAAATGGCTCCTAAAATAAGGAAGTCAGTGCTTCTTGAGATGTGAGGAATAAGAAATACAACTAAATCTTGGAATATGCAATTTTCTTAGCCAAACTGAATCACTTTCGCAACTAGTTCAATAAAACGACAACTCTGGAAAGGTCATGGTCCGTCTCGAGAGAAATGACCCCTAAACTTTGCGGTCGACCATCAATAAAAGTTGGCAGCCACAGCCACATTCACATCCACGTAAGGATCCGAAGCCGAATCGAAGGGTCCTTATCTCAATTATCTGTTCGGGCGACCATGACCATGATCCTTGGCCACAAAAGTTTCCCTTGGCTGCGTTCCATTCGCTTGGCTTTGCATTTGTTTTTCTGTGATCCGGCGTTATTTGTGTTTGTGTAAGGACAGTTCTGTTTCCTGTCAATGCTTCTGTCACTTTTCGCAGGACACTCGCAGAAGGGCGCCCGCAGTTTTGTTGTCACGTCTGTGGTTTATGTACACATTTCCCGCTCGCCGGCATGAAAAGTGGAAAAGCGTCCCGAAACTAACTGTGATTCATGTAAAACATGTGGCTCTCACAAATACACTCGCTCATGTGTAATGCGAAAACGTGGAGTCATGAGGATTTTCCGCCCACCCACCGTTTTACCCACCCGTAGTTTCCCATTCACTGCGAAACTTGCATAAAGGCAACACTCGCCGAAAAGTTAACGCTCATGAGCGACATACACAGGGTTTTTATATTTACTCCTGTTTCAGTTTTAATACCTCGTAAAGTGAAAAGGTATATGAATCGTTCAAAACAGGCTCTATAAAATATAGTTCCTTAAATTATTAACTGTTATATTAATGCTTGAAGAAAGAGCCTTTAAAGATATATTGTTGGAGATTAAATATATAGCATTTTGGTTTACATTTCAACACTTTAAATACGAAAAGGTACTATAAAATGTAGTTCCTTAAACTATTAACATGTATTTAATATATTTAATACTCAAAGTAAGAGCCTACAAAAGTATAATATTTCAGGTTTTACTTGAAATGTCTCAACATATTATATTTTGGTTATGGTTTTGGATGTAAAGATCAATCTTTAATATATCCAAATTTAAACAGGGTATAGGAAAGCGTTATTTTTTCAGCATTAGGAAACTTTTTGCGCATATGTTTAGTCAAAGTGAAGAGGGGAAATGGGAAACTATTATGAGTATTATATTTAGGACATGTTGCAAGTGCGTTAATGAGTTTTTTGTTCCCGTTTGTCAGACGGTCGGAATGTAATTAGACGCCCATAGAAGGGCCACCCCCAGTTCGTTGCCATTAATCACATAACTTACCACCGACTGAGAGGCGGTCAGAAGGACACACGGACAGTTGGACAGAGTGACATGAAAACTGACCATGTTTTGACTAGACACAAATTAAAATGGAAAGGATTAACAATAGAGAAGTTCTGTATAGGGCTTTATTTAAATCCAATTAAGGCTGGACGGGAAAATTGAATTTCAAAGAGAAAAAATGCATATAAAAATCCGAAATTCAATTTGACTACAGCCCAATCATTTTGGACCTATCACTTGCACTTGGATACATGAAAATGCAGTGAAACTATCTATCTGCCAATTAACCCATTGGCTGGTAACCAAATATAATCAGAAGCACTCGGATATCACTCATCCGCAGAGTGTGCACCCATAAAATGCTTAACCGAATTAGGAGAAGTAAGACTTTGAAAGGCGAAATAACCCTGACGTGAGCTAAAATTCAGTTTTCTTCTCTGTGAAATTCAGGGGAATTTCCTTTTACTGCCGGCTGGCGATGTCCGAAATCAATTCAAACGGGGGACTCAATCAAACATTTCCCATTCGCATTCCGGTTCGGTGCTCTGCACTTCTCCTCAAGCATTTCGCCTGTGTCCGGGGCTCTGCCAAAAATGCCAATGCCATTTTCCATTCGCCAATCACATTTCCAGTTCTTCGCTTTTTTCCCAATTTGGCCCTCTTCTCAGTTTGACGCTATGTGCAGTTTATTTTGCAATCAAATTGTTTTTATCACATCCGCACAACTAAACTGTAAACATTTGCAAGCAACACTTTTGCCAGTTCCGGCTTCGAAAAAAAGCCACCCACTAAATCTGGAAAAATAAGGAAATATGGGGGAATGCAAAATGTATGGGGAGATCAGGGACGGATTGGGTTTATAGAGAGAAAATTCGGTACCACAAGTTGCCCTGGTTTCTAAACTTAGTTAAAATAAATATCGTGTTAAATGAGACAATTTCCTATTGTCAATATATAATTTAAATAAAATATAATTAAATGTAATTTATAGAAAAATAATATAAAATGAAATATAAATATAGTTTTAGTTCCACTAAATCAATAATATTTATACTTCATATGAACTTTTACTAAAAGCAGATATATTTAATTAAAAACTCACAAAATTCCGAAATTTCACCAAATCCCCCTCTGAAAATAGGAAAGCTGCAATACAAGAAAAAATGAAGAGTATGGTCTGAAAAATAGGGATAAACAAGGGAAACTGCAACGGAAAATTAGAAAAAACGTCCGGATCGGGGGCTCCAGCTGTTTGTGGATTTTGTGGGGGGGAAAGTGCTGAAAAATGTTTCGGTGGAGGAAAAAGAAATTTGCAATCAAAGTTGAGAGATGTTGCTTCTATTTTTTTCCCGCTTTTTGGCCGTTGTTTGGCTGCTGCTGGTTTTTAGCCACATTTAACTTCGGTTTAGAGGGGAGTGTCCCGGAAAATTGAAAATCAAACTGACGGCGAAAATCAATTAATGTCGACAAACTGTTCACCAATTCGGCTAATTGTTGGCCAAAAGTTCTTCAGTGAAGGAAAGCCAATAGCGTTATTGTACAATACTTTTCATTACGCGGATGGACTGAAAATCATGAAAATTTCAATCGCTTTCCATTTGGCGGTAAGCCGCTTAAATGCGCCTTTGATCCAAGGGGACCAGGACTGGAAACTCAAAGCTTCAACTGAAACCACGAGGACCCCAGGACCCTGACCCCTGACCCAACCCGCGTCAGCTTTCTGGCTCAACTGTAGGCAATTTTTGGACGGCCACGTGATGAGCATCGAAAGCGTATATTCAAATCCAGTGACAAACTGGCGGAGAATCTCCGGAGAGAGTGGGATTTTCGGGGCAGTCATGCACACAGAACCGGGCTCGAAATCCGGAATACGGACTTTGAGCCTGTGGAGCATGGACAATTTAACAAACCTATTTATTTATGAAAGCCAAAATGCATTTCGATTGTTGGACATCGAAAGATGTGACCGAAATTCAATTGAAATTCTCAAATAAGCCATTTTCAGGAGCAGTCACGTGTGTCTCGGGCTCCGACCTGAGTCAACAACAATGGAATTAAGTTGAACAAATTACCAAACGGCCAGAAAATTACTGTGTAGTGAGGTCAAAATGACCAGCATGGCTTAATATCCCAGAAAAACTCCTAGTTTTACTCTGAATGTTTGTTAAATATTTAAATAGCTTGGGTATTCATATGAGCACTAAGATCCTTTATTTTGGCGTTGACCAAGATATGTTTGCTTATAATTAAGATAAAACTATTGTATTAATAAAATATTAATGGACTCACCATAATAATGGTCCCAAAATTTAAAAATATATACTTAATTATAGACTAGAAAATTCCTAATCACACAGTTTCTTCTACCAATTTCACGCAAATTTTCGAGAAGCCGTGGGCTTGGTAATTTTTCAATTAGTTACAGTCCGCCCAAATTCTGTAGTGATTTTCAGCTTTGATTCGCAAACTGTGTCAGCCACGCCCACAGTCTTCCACGCCCTTGCTGCAAAAATATGACTGCAACATAGGGGGAAAGTAGAAAGTAGAAGTACCAGGTAGCACACAGGCGGGTTAATAACCGACATGCCAGAAAAATTAATGGCAAACCATTTAGCCAGGTTTTTTTGTGCCGCCACGCGACCGCAAAAGGGGAAGCCCCTGGCCAAAAGAAGCTTGGGGTGCAAATTATGCAACAGACAGGCGGTGGAAAAACCTGTAAATGGGAATGGAAAACTTTGACTTAATTTGCGGCCGGGAAACAGGTGGCAAAGTATCCACGGGCAGGGGCGAGAAAATAATGCCAGAGACTGGCAATTTAATTAACGGAGCCAGTTAAACATTCAAACACTGACACTAAGCCCGACTCCCACTGTCTCTGTAATGTTCGGAACCACACCCCCCACCCCCGCCCAAGGTCCTTGGCCCCG